TCTAGAACTTGGCAATACAACTATGTAGTTAAATTAGTAGAATGCACACACAGTAGATGAGATTAGCTGTCTGCAGAAATCACTTTAAAAGTTATCTTTTGTGCAGACAGACAGAGCTAGCCTAGGATGCTAGTCAAGATGTGATTAAACAGAAGAAGCAACGGCCTAATCAAAGCACTGAGGTATTCACAGAAGGATGGGGTGTGTGTATTTTGGGGGGAGGTCTGTGTGGAACACAGAAAAGGGGAGAGAGGAAGGAAGCCCGTTGGTGTTTTTCTAACACTGCCTGGAGAGCAGCCACACTGGGTGGGGAATGAGCCACCAGCCTGTGGGAAGGTGTTCGCTGGGTTCAGGACAGGAATGAACACCTTCTGCTCTCCTCCCAGGCTCACTAAGCAGCCGCCTGACTCAGCCTCCAAGTCAGGGAGAGTGGGAAGGGGCTACAAGAGTGAGCAACGCAGGCAAAGGGCCCCGAGCATGAGCCCTAGAGCCAAAGGGACCGGGCTCAACTCCTGACTCCCAGTACTTACAAGCTGTGCCACTCTGGGCAAAAATGTTCACCTCTGGAGCTCTTTTCCTGATCTGTGAAATGGGGATGCTGAAATCTCCCTCAGAGAGCTGCTGTGAGGATCACTCGTAGAAAGCAGTAAGGTAGCTATTGAGCTATAATTATTAATAATATTAACAATGACATCATTACTATTACTGATAAATGAATTTATTTAGCAGTCCCTAGGGAGGTTACTCAATAAAAGCCACCCCAGAAGCTGTTCTTTGCTGGGTGTGCTGAATTACAAAACCGAGCTCCTGGATCTGCCATGCTGAGGCTTGGGCCCTGGGCCTGGCGACCATGTGACTGCACCCCAAGACCTGCGGTTAGAACTGTCTTACATGGCATCTATGAACCGAATGCAAAGCTTGTAGCTTTGTGTGAAATAAATACTGTTTGTGGGGACATGTAAGTTTTATTTGTATAAACCTAACGTAGCCAACAAAAACATTCTTATAAATGGTTCTGGGAGTTATGAGCGGTGACCATGAGTGTGTATTATGGATAATAATATTTACCTGCACTTCATAAAGTTTTTGTAAAGTTTAAATGGGATAATGAAGTATACTGCTTATCTCCTGGCATAAAGTAAGCACTCGATATAAATGTTTCACACTGTGCAAATGTGGGTTTTTGTTTTTGTTTAGCTCACATTGTGTTGTTATTTAAATCAGACAAAAAGAACCTCTCCAAAGGGGGGTGGGGGGAGAGAAGACTCCAAACTCCAAAATATCAGATTTGTGCTGGTACAAAAGAAAAAAAATCACATTTATTTTACAAGGTAGTATTTTCCTAAAGTATTATACACAAGGGAAAGTTGAGCTGTCTGTAGGAAAACAGAATATAATTTTAGGAAATTACAGAAGAGTCAACATTGTGCTTAAAACTTTAAAATAGACAGGTTTTAAAAATAGCACAGTAAGTGAATATTGCAAGGTATGAACAGCCTTAGAAAGTGTCTATGAACACAACGATATGAAGCTCAGTATTAAAACCTCTACTGATGATTTGCTTTCAGACTTGTTCAGACTATGAAGAGAGCACTGCTTCAATCTTAACAGAAAAAAGAACTCCGAGCGCTAATAGAAACATGGCCCTTTCCTAATACAGTCAACTCTCAATTATCCGTAACAATGAAAGGGAGCAGTGACATAAAATTTTTTTAAGGTAAATAATTCCAAAATTAACTTCAAGAAGTGCCCTTGTACTTATGTTAGGATGTGAGAAATCTGACATCCCTACAATTCACAGCACTGATGAAGTGAGTAGAACCCCACTTCCCTTCCCCTCCTCCACAGGAAGAGAGACAGTCACATAGGACTTGCTGAAAAGCCTAAAATACAACTGGCCTTCTTAATTCCGGCTCACACCTCCCCCTGGAGAGGGGCGTAGGAAAGAAAACTGCGAAAATCTTGTTTTCCTCATATAAAAAGCCAAAACATGTCAATAAAATTTTGCAAACAAGATGGAATAATCAAGAGCTGACTATATCAATATTATTTTATCTTGTACTTTTTTTTCTTGCCTAGTAGTGTTTATACTGCCAAACATATCTGGGTATGTTGACAGCTTTCTGACTTATCTGGTTACATCCTATTACCCAAATAGAGGAATGTGCATAAAAGGAGTTTGTTACGATCAGTCCCAAAAGAACTGTGATGTTTCAAATAGGCCAGGAAGCGGAGGTTAAGAAATAAAACCACCAGCCGCAAAACAGAATCACATCAAATCCACAAGGGCCTCCAGGGCAACCCCCGCGCAGTTCTGCTCTGGTTCTGGTGGTGCTGTACTGTAGTATCTCGAATTGTAAGTCTCCCCTTTCCAGGAAAGCAACTGTTTTTCTTCAGGGTTTTCATCAAATTCTCATTTCAAATCTTGAAAATTACAAGGTGAAAAAAAACCCTAGATTTGATTATAAAGCCTCATTTGTTAATGTACCAAATAGTCATAAACACAAAAGCATTTTAATTGCTTTGTCATTTCTCAAAAAGTTCTGAGCATATTTGAAACTTGAAAGTTCTAAAATAAATCTTGGTTAGGTAAGAAAGCTGAATTCCACACCGCACTTATTTTGTATCTTCTACCTAACAGCTTTCACAACTTTCAAAAAGTGGGAATGGTGCCAGGTTTCCACAGAGCCCAGGAGAGCAGGCTCTCCATCCCTAAAGCCCAGCCCTTTGCTCCCAGTGAGCACACCACCAGGTCCGAACCATAAAGCTCTCCTCTCTCTCCATGTACAAGATTAACCAAGGCGATTTAACATGACTGTGTTCAGTGTCTATAATACATGTTGCAGTCTAAACATTTTCTAAAGTGCCTATAAATACGCTTATACAAATGAGCAGTATAATATCAGGATTACAGAGAAATTCTCTTACATAATATAGAACAGAATAGGCCTAGATTTTAAGTTGAGACTACACATTTTTATATCCTTATCAGTTGTTTTTGGAATGCAAGCATAAAGAAAGAATTCTGGTTCAATCGTATATGATTTCCAGAGAATTATTAATATTAACAGTGCTAGGACAAAGAAATTCTTGCTTGTGCTTGTTTAGAAAAGGCTATTTTGAGATCCAGGAACATCTGATATTTAGAATCCAATGGAACATCTCCAATTCTATAAAATTGATAGTAGTAAGTGAAGCTTAGTGAGTTTTTAATTATAAACAGATTGTGCAAATATTTAAAATGATTATCAACCATTATTAAATCCAAAAATTCCATTAAAATCGTGGCTAATCTGAATGGCAGTTCAGGAGTTTAAAAAACAGGAACCCAGGCAAAACTTGTAGATACTACTGATAAAGGGCCCAACCCTGAAACAGCCGGCTTCAGAAACCTGGCCTGTGACCACATATTTCCATGGCTTTAGAGACCTAGTGGTTGACTCCAATTATTCTAATGGACAGGAACATGGGCCCGGAGTAGAGAACTGATGGGAACTGTGTAGAGAAAGAAGACCTTCTATGTGCCCACCCAGGAGATGCAGTGTGCCCACCCACGGGGTAGGTGCAGACAGGGCCCAACGGCTACTGCAGGCTCACAGGTGTTTGGCTTCCAAGCCTGCCTTCAGCTGGCCACTCAGTCATGGGAGGCACCGAGGACCTCAGGGCTCATCAGATGTCTGTCCCTAAGCCACCTGGGCCGGGCCGGGCTGGCTGGGGAAGCCCCTCTCTGCACCCCTGCCTCCACCTGCCCTCTCCTGTGCCCTGCTGTCCCTGGAGCTCCTCTCACCACCTTACTGGCTTGACTTGTTGAGTCTTTACATTTCAGTAAGTGGGAACTTTAGGCTGCATTCCCATCTAGCAGAGAAAGCTCTAACTAACACTGTTTTCAAAGGAATATACACGCTCTGCTTTCTAAACCCTACAGATGTTTTGGGCACCTAAACCTAACAAAGTGTTCTAGCCAATAACTTGAACTACACATACAACTAGGAAAGCAGATTTTGTCTGGTGTGATTGGTGCAAGATGTCAAATGGAGGCTTCAGGGAAGAACACAACAGGCCTCTTCTTATGTCTTAAAATACAAACTGACATGACATAGAAGAGGTGTGCCATAATGCTGACAGAGCACACTCACGGATAGTTAGGATCTAAGAAATATTTCTCTATCTCCAACTCTGATAGTTCTAGTTTCATTAGGCCATATTTTAAACTTCCTGGATTCTTAACTATGCCTCACAGAGAGTAGATTTGGAAAAATGGCAGATAACCAACTCACACAAGAACACCTGGTATAAATGGAGATTAGGAGTAGAATTCTGAAGAGAGCTAAATAAGAAAGACCTCTTCACTATTTTGTGTGTGTGAGAAAAGAGAACATGTACAACAGACCGTGACTATTACTGTAGTAAAAGTGAATGTATATTACACAAAATATTTTCTCCTGACTTAGCAGCAAACTATTTCAACTGCTTTTGCATTTGCATAAAAAATCCATGCATCATACTGAATTCTAATCCATTTCTCACCTAAGCCATTCTAATGCTTCATACAACCAAATGAAGCAGAATTAATCAAACCTATTAGATTCATTCCTAATCCCTAAAGGACTGCTGTCTTTAGCATTTCCATGCTAACTAAAACTATTATTGATTTTTTTCTTAAGACGTCAGATGTGGCTGCCTCCTAAATATAATACCTATATAACTTCCTAAAAGTTTGCCCCAGATTTGAAGAACAATTAAGAAAAGCTGAGAAATGTTGGGGAACCCACCCAGGAGGCCAGCTCAAATGTTGCAACACGTTCCCAGCTAAAAGCCAAGTACCTCTCACCTCCCCCTCGGTTCCCAGAGCATCTGGGTACCGTTACCTGTATGTGTTATCTCCCCTGTTAGACTGTGGGTCCCTTTATGTTGGGAGTCAGGTCTTATTCATTCTGTATCCCCACAGCACCCTGAAGAGTGTAGGTCCTCAGCTAAAGCTACATTGAGCATTAAAGTGAGATGTCATCTCTTCTTAAATGAAGGCCTAACTCAGCCCCAGGTCATGAAGGGCTGTGCAGACAGTGGCCATAACTAGGGGCCAAGCTGGCCTCCACTAACCTCCTAGAAGTAAGCTGAGGCAACACTGGCCCGGACCCATGCAGGTGGTGAGAAGGGGAAAGGGAGAGAATGGCATCTTCCAGTGCACACTCTTTCCCCTCACATGAGCTGATTGCCATATGAGACTGGCAGGGGCGGGGTGCCTGTCAGCATGCCAAAAGGAGTGCCAAGGGCTCTTGTGTGAAGAACTGGCTATTTAGAAAATACTGTCTCGTTCACTCTGGGTAGCTCCTCAACCTGATCCACAATACTCTGTGATCATTGCTTCATCGCTTTCAAAGTCCCCAGTGAAATTAAGGCTGGGTCACAATTCATGACACCAGATGCTACATAGAAAGTAAGTGAAGATACAAAAGAAAACCATTTATAAGAAAAAGAATGTCTTCGTTATAAGACTAATTTAAGGGTGAAGCTAATCAGCAGACCACTGGTCGCTCTGGTTGTTAGAGGGGTAGAAATACCAACTGCACTGGAAAAAGGATCCACCAGACAGAAGTACAAAAGCTCCGTGTGGATCAAGGACACGCTTCCTGCCTGGACACTCACACAGTGGTTTCTATCGTTTCAATCACTTCCAGGTCAGACTGCGAGGGGGAGAGGAGGGTGCACTCGTCCGGCTCCCAGCTGCTCTCTGGACTGTAATCTTCCTCTGAACTCAGTTCTGCCCCTTCTTCTGTGTCCTCATCACATGATTCCACATAGTGAGCCCCGATCGCATTGATCCCAGAGTCCTCAGAACTTGAGGGAGAAGAGCAGTGATCTATTTTTGGTGTATTGCTCTCTTTTGAAATTAAGGCATCGTGTGCAGAGACCTCCTCAGGGCTCATTTTGTGGGAATGTGGTGCTGGCTGCTTCTGCACATAACACATCTTCCCATTTATACATTTAACCTGATAGTTGTCAATAAAGAGGTCTGAGATCATGCAGTACCTTGGAGAATCAGGGGGCAGGGGAGGCTGGAAGACAGATGCAAATTTCATAAAGTGTTCGGTGAGTGAGACTGAGATCTGAATGGTGTTTGTGGGTTCCCGAGGCTTCGCAGGAATCTCAGTGCTGGGAAGCTGCTCCACGGGGGTCATAGGCTGATACACATACTTGCCTGTGGGGAACACAAAAAAGGCGCCTGAAATCTAAGAGTATTACACAAACCACATTAACATAGCCATAAGGGTTTCTTTCTGAGGACTCAGAACGTTTTTAAAAATATTTTAATAACATCTCAAAAGACACTAGTAATAGAATCATTCAACACTGTTATAATCAATTAAAAATAGAGCATGGTACATAACATCATGTACCATTAACATTTTCATCTAAGAAACTCAACACACTTGACAAATCTTACTTTATATTTGAGTCTTTCTAATGCCTCTGAAGTAGGTGCGTGGATACTATAATCCTTATTTTACAGACAACTTTAAATGCTTTACCCCTCATAGTAGAATAAAGAATGTCCACGATGTAGTATGGTAAAAACATGCTGTAAAGTAGTATAATATACTACAAAATTATATTTCCACTTTTTATCTTTAATAATTATGTTAATATATATGTTAATATATACATTTATAAAATGGAGGAATATACACCAATTTATTATCAGAATTAGGGAAGACATTCACTTTTTAGGTTTCTATGTTTTAGTCAGAATACATACACATATTTAAAGATTTTATTTATTTAATTTTTTCCCCCCAAAGCCCCAGTAGATAGTTGTATGTCATAGCTGCACATCCTTCTAGTTGCTGTATGTGGGACTCGGCCTCAGGGTGGAGGGAGAAGTGGTGCCTCGATGCGCACCCGGGATCCGAACCCGGGCCACCAGCATTGCAGCGCACGCACTTAACCACCAAGCCACAGGGCCGGCCCCATACACATATTTAATAGGTAACAGCCTGTAGGATCATTGTGGCGACCCTCAATGTCTGGAGTGCAGTGTGGGGTGTGAAGTGATCTCTGTCAGGATCAAAGCTCATCAGTGGCCTAAGCTAGAGATGCTCTTTCTCCCTGACACCAGCTCTACTGGCACTAGGCACCCACGCCACACAGAAGCAAAGCCACAAGGAGGTGCGGGGGGTGACTCCTGGATGTTTCTAGGAAACCAAGAAGCTTATCCCCAAATCTTCCCCTCTGCTCTGAGCCCCCAAGTGTTTCACACAGTTTACACGGGAGTGAAACCTAAATGGATCTGATCCTAATGTGTCTCCTTCCCCATTCTCTTTCACTTCACTCAACATTTAGCAAAGCCTCCCACGTATCAAGTGCTAAGGAAATAGAGGGAGAGATGAAAATTACCCAGTCTGTAAGTCTAAAATGATTTAAAAATAGAAATCTAGGAGAAGAAAACCTGAAAAACCCAAAGACAGTAGCCACAATTGTGGGCACCATCTTGAGTTTTTCCTAATATCGTTGATTTATCAGTCAGGCCATACCATATCTTCTACACGTATTTATGACAGGGTTCTCAACTTCAGCACTATTGCCATTTTGGACCAGATAATTCCTTGTTGTAAGGGGCTGTCCCATGTACTGTAGGAAGTTTAGCAGCATCCCTAGCCTCTACCCACTAGATGCCAGCAGCACCTCCTCCTCAGGCATGATAATCAGAAATGTCTCCAGACATTGCCAGATACCCCCTGGGGGGGAGGGGGTGGAAAATCGCCCTGGTTTGAGAACCACTGATTCAGACATCCTCATGAGCATCTCTCAGCAGGCAAATCACTCACTGTGCATGGCACCTGCTCCTGTTTGTTTTATTTCTTGGTCAGACTGAAAATTCTAGGACAGGAATCACATTCATAAGGAAAATTACCTTAGATTTTTTAATAAGTTACTTAAGCCATGGAAAAATAGGAATTTCAGATCAGAAATGTGAGCAGCAAACTACGCCACAAAGAGTGCAACATCAGTAATCTATTAAGATCAATCAAGCCTGCCTGTATTTTTTACTTCTGTTTCTTGACTCCTGTACAAAAACCAGGCTTAGATTTCACAATTTCTTTGTAACTAAATTACCCTAAAAAATATATTCAGCTTCATTCTAGAGTACCCACATGGAAAACGTACATTTAAAATTGTTAAGCCTTTGGGTTCCCAGGTCTACTTCTAAGCTTGGACACATATCATGCAAACCCCATGGTCTGATAAAAATACAAGTGAGAAGAACCCGTCATACCTGCCTGGAGAATTATGTTTAAAATATGCCAGGTAACTTCATTCCTCTGTTTTCTGTAAAAGACTATGGTACTACGACTTGTCAGGCAAAGTTCAAATCCAGTAAGGTCTAACAGTTGGTACGGTAGGACCTCTGCCTCCAAGCATCACAGGCATTACCAGCTGAAGGGGGCGAAGAAAGGAGACCTTCGCGCCTCCCCTCCAATCCACCAGCCCCAGCATTAGAGAAAGACGTGTTCCGCAAGGGACAGAGAAGGGACTTGGAGAACTTGGGGGACTACTCACTTCTGTCTACAGAGTGGTGAATAAAGCATCTGGAATGGAGGTTTGGTCTTTTCTAGTCTTAGCTGGTGGACCGGTGGTTACTGAGTTAAGGAGGCTGAGGATGGCGGGCTCGCAGGAAATGCTTGTTGCAGAATGCTGATTAAGTTCATTCCAGCCCTAGTGACCTCTGGTTTAGTTATCCGCTTGTCACAGCCATAGGAGGTTCCTGGAAGTTGATCCTTAGACTCAGAAGGATCAGGGCTTTATTTAATCCAAAGATGGAGGAACCATGAAGCCTGACTTTGGGACTTCTCTAACCACCCTCTCCTACTCTCACCTAACCCTCCTCGCCCTGCCCTCTTCTTCCTTCTCCTCTTTTGTGCTTCTTCATAATTCCTTTGCTTTTTCTCTTCTTCTCAGTTCTTCTACCTCTTTCTTTCTCTAATCCTCTCTCCTCCAAAGCTCTATTTTTCTTCCTTCAAGTGTAGTAAAAAAAGAGAAATGCAGCTGATAGAGGAAGATGAATATAGCATTCCAGATTCCATTTTCTTCTACAAGTTACCTCTATTAAATATGCTTACTCAGAGCTAAGGTGACAGCCCATTATCTGGTGAGATGGAGATACAGATGCAAAGAGTAAGGCAGAGAAGAAAAAACAGTAAAGATGACCAGATGAGGAACAAAGTTTAGTAAACATCTTTCAAATATCAATTATTATATAATACTATATTATTTGATTTGCTTATAAACACATAAATAATAAAACAAACTCACATCAAGGATTTAGTTTTGCAAAGAGTCCAGAGGGGTTAATATTTTGCTCCAATCCCCAATAACTTCTACCCTGTGGTATACTACGCTGTGAATCCACATTCACAATGATAGCCCTGAAGCATCACAAGATCCTGAATTATCAGAGAGATTCAATCATGTCCACTCTACTGTATTTAGAGAATAAAATGAACTAACACACTCTGCAATAACAAGGACTGAAACAAAGGGGTTTCTGGCCACTTAGCCAGGAAATTCAATAACCACTATACTCTGTTCTCTGAACAATCCTCCTAATCAAGGGTTTACTACGTTATTTAAAGAAATAAATGGATGGGAACTTTTAAAACTTAAATCTTTACAAGGAAAAAGTACTCAAAGAGAGTCAGGGCTTGGAGAACAGCAAAGTAGAGGGAGAGTAAAAGAAGGATCTAGAGATGATATGATCCAGCAATCCCACTTCTAGGTACATGCCCGAAAGCAGGGTCTTAAAGAGATATTTGTACACTCATGTTCATAGCAGCATTATTCACAACAGCCAAAAGGCAACCCAAGTGTCCATGACGGATGAATGGATAAACAAGATGCGGTATATACATACAATGGAATATTATTCAGCCTTATAGAGTAAGGAAATCCATGCTACAACATGGTTGAACCTTGAGAACATTATGCTAAGTAAAATAAGCCAGTCAGAAAAAGACAAATACTGTAGGATTCCACTTATATGAGGTACCTAAAGTAGTCAAATTCATAGAGACAGAAAGCAGAATGGTGGCTGCCAAGGGCTAGGGGATAAGAAGGTATGGGGAATTGTTGTTTAATGGATACAGAGTTTCAGTTTTGCAGGATGAAAAGAGTTCTGGAGAGGGATGGTGGTGATGACTGCACAACAATATGAATGTTAGTTGATACACTGAACTGTACACTTAAAAATGGTTATGACGATAAATTTTATGTTATGTGTATTTTACAATTTTTAAAATTAAAAAAATTAATCAGTATAATTCACTATATTAACAGACTGAGGGAAAAATCTATATCCAGATCCAGAATATCCTCAATATTCAAGAATGTCCTCAACATATCCAGAATATATAAAGAATTCTTACAACTCAATAATAAGAAAACAAACAACCCAATTTTAAGAATGAGTGTGGCTATACAAGGGCAACATGAGGGATCCCTACAGTGATGGAAATGTTCTGTAACTTGACTATATCATTGTCAATACCTTGGTTATGATACTGTACTATTGTTTTGCAACTATAGCTGTCATTGGGGTAAGTGAGTAAAGGATATATAAGATCTCTCTGTATTTTTCTTAAAACTGCATATGATGGGGCCGGCCCCGTGGCTTAGCGGTCAAGTGCCCGCGCTCCGCTGCTGGAGGCCTGGGTTCGGATCCCAGGCGCGCACGGACGCACCGCTTCTCCGGCCATGCTGAGGCCGCGTCCCACATACAGCAACTAGAAGGATGTGCAGCTATGACATACAACTATCTACTGGGGCTTTGGGGGGAAAAATAAATAAAATTATAAAAAAAAAACTGCATATGAATCTATAATTTTTTTCAAAATAAAAATATAATTTAAAACAGAGGAAAAAACACCATAGAAGTGATGTTGCACCCTCTTCAGTGCATTACATAAGGAGGCACATGCTACTGCCATCTCTCATCACAGATGACGTTAACTGTGAACACTTGGTTAATGTGCTGTCTGGGTTTCTCCATGGTAAAGTTAGTATTTTTCTCTTTGAAATTATTAAATATTTTGTGAAGAGATAGATATGTGAGACTATGCAAATATCCTATTTCTCATCATACTCTCACCTAGAGTAATTTTAGCATACATAGGTGGATCTGGTCTGCAATAATCATTACTGCAG